CTATGTAGTGTAATGTATCTATGTAAGTGTAATGTATCTATATAAGTGTAATGTATCTATGTAAGTGTAATGTATCTATGTAAGTTTAATGTATCTATGTATGTAATGTATCCATGTAAGTGTAATGTATCTATGTAAGTGTAATGTATCTATGTAAGTGTAATGTATCTATGTAAGTTTAATGTATCTATGTATGTAATGTATCTATGTAAGTGTAATGTATGTATGTAAGTGTAATGTATCCATGTAAGTGTAATGTATCTATGTAAGTGTAATGTATCTATGTAAGTGTAATATATCTATGTAAGTACGTGTGTAATAGTTTTTGAAAACGATCTTTAAACGATCCTTTTTTGTTTCGTTTTTCAATCGGTTTCAAAAACGATCATTTCGTTTTCGGAAAAAAAAAATCATTTTTTAAAACGACCCACTCGTTCTGAACTTTTGGAAAACTCATGACGATCGTTTTTGAAAACGATAAAAACGGTTTGCGACGGTTTTTTATATAATTGTTTTTTAAAAACAATTGTTTTTGAAAAAAAACAAATTTTATTGACAATTATGTCATCGATTGTTAACGAAGGGTCGTCGATAACGGTTGTTAACGAAACGACAAACTTTATAAAAACGGTTGTTTTTGAAAGAAAAAAAAATTACATAAAACTTTATTGAATGATGTATTAAAAAAAAACGATCGTTTTGAAAAGCGATCATTTCTTTTTTGATTTTTCGTCGTCGTTTTCATAACGAAACGATCGTTTTTCAAAAAATTGAAAACGTCAACATCCCTATGTCTAGCAAATACAGGGGCCTCATAGTAAATTACGTTGTAAATTGTCCATATAGCTAAACGTCCATATAGTAAATATGTAAATTAACCCAATCATTATATGTATGTGAATATATCTCCATCATAACCATATTGTGATTGCTTAACTACGTTATATATAACATCGCATAACTTGTAATTACGCTTTTAAAGACCCAATTATAGTCTAAACTAAAGAAATATACTTAGTTGATACAGATACTCCAATTGATTGCTGCCGAGAGAGTATTTAGGTTCTCGTTTTAACATACAAGCTGGGATCACACCCATAGGTTTGGGGTTGATAGAGTATGAGCTAGTGTTCGGTTGACATCGATTGCTCATGAGATCTTGCCCATAGTTTGACATTGAAAGGAGTGGCATTGTTTATGGAATAGTGGCCGTGTGTATAGTCAAGAGAATCTTAGTTGTACCTGGATAGATATGGGTCGGAAAGCAGTTTATGGAGTAGGGCATTTACTGCAAGTGTATGTATTTGTGTAAGTGTAATGTATCTCTGTAAACTAAACTGATTAGTCTAGTGGCCGTGGTAAGGTCATATGTTAAAGTATCAAGTGAAAAAAACACGTGAGAAAGCCAACTCGATGCATCCTTTTAAAAATAAGCTTGTACACGATTATTTGTTGGTCTTGTTTAAAAGCCAATGAACTTTCCCTTATTCTTACATGCCCAATTCTATCAAATAAACATATTTTTATCATATTTTGTTCGAATATTAATTAGCATGTGTTTAGCCCATTGCATGTTTTTCTTAATGCTTAATCCGATAAACATAGAACAGTGAATACTGAACAGTGAACATAGAACAGTGAATACTGAACAGTGAACACAGAACAGTGAATACTGAACAGTGAACACAGAACAGTGAATACTGAACAGTGAACACAGAACAGTGAATACTGAACAGTGAACACAGAACANATAGGATACAAGGGGTGATATAATAGGATACAAGGGAGGATATTGTAGGATACAAGGGAGGATATAATAGGATACAAGGGGGATATAATAGGATACAGGAGAGGATATAATAGGATACAAGGGGTGATATAATAGGATACAAGGGGTGATATAATAGGATACAAGGGAGAATATAATAGGATAAAAGGGGTAATATAATAAGATACAAGGGGGGATATAATAGGATAAAGGGGTGATATAATAGGATACAAGGGGTGATTTAATAGGATACAAGGGAGGATATAATAGGATACAAGGGGTGATTTAATAGAATACAAGGGGTGATATAATAGGATACAAGGGAGGATATAGTAGGATACGAGGGAGAGAATATAATAGGATACAAAGGGGGAATATACTAGGAAACAAGGAAGGATATAATATGATACAAAGGAGGATGTAATATGATACAAAGGAGGATATAGTAGAATACGGGGGGTGATATGATAGGATACAAGGGAGGATATAATAGGATAAAAGGGGGGAAATAATAGGATACAAGGGGGATATAGTAGGATACAAGGGAGGATATAATAGGATACAAGGGGTGATATAATAGGATACAAGGGGGGATATATTGGGATACAAGAGGTGATTTAATAGGATACAAGGAAGGATATAATAGGATATAAGGGAGGATATAATAGAATACAGGGGGCGATATAATAGGATACAAGGGAGGATATAATACGATACAAGGCGAAATAAAATAGGATACACCTGGGGGGATGTAATAAATAGGATACAAGTGGGGATGTAATAGGATACAAGGGAGGATATAATATGATACAAGGGGGATATAATAGGATACAAGGGAGGATATAATATAATACAAGTCAGGATATAATAGTATACAAGGGGGAAATTGTATGATACAAGGGGGAATAAAATAATATACAAGGGGGATATAAAAAGATTCAAGGGAGGATATAATAGGATACAAGAAGGATATTGTAGTGTAATAAATACAGGGGCCCCACTGTAAATCTAGATAAATTAAGCTGTACATTGTCCATTAGCTAGCTAAATGCGCTCATTAGTAAATACGTAAATCATTTATTGCGATTAACCCAATCTAGAAACGTAGAAATATGTAACTCCGTCAACCCCATATTGTGATTGCTTAACTAAGTGATATATAACAGTGCATAACTTATAACTATGCTTTTAAAACTTAACTTTAATCAAACATCTACAAATATACTCAATTGATATAGAGACTCCGCTTTGATTACTGTGAGAGAGTAATCGTGTTTTTGGTTTAAACAAATGAGTTGAAGATTGTGCCCATTGGTTTGGCATTGATCGTTACGGGCTTGTGTCTGTGTAGACATTGAGAGCTGATCATGCCGATTGGTTTGGCATTGATTAATTAAGTGCTTGTGTCCTTGTAGACATTGATAGCGGATCGTGCCCATTGGTTTGGCATTCCTAGCCGCAGCGCTCGGCCCCCTAGCACATCCTAGCCGAAGTGCTCGGCTCCCATTGTTGCCTGCGGCACCTCAGACACCTAACCTAACCTTAAATAAAGTGCTATATTTTCTTTAAAACAATTAGCCCATCCTAGCTTCAGAAGGCTTAACCTAACCGTAAATAATAATAAGGATAGTTTAACACAATTTTACCCTTTAAAAAAAGTGTGCACGCCGCCAACATGTTTTTGCCTTAACTAACTAAAGTTGAGAAATTCTTTTAAAATTGTAAAACTTAATTGTTCATTTAATACTTCTTTCATGGGGAAAATTCCGTTTTTCCTCCATGGGGAAGTTGCCACTTGGGAAATTTTCATTTGGGAAAACGTACATTTGAGAACGCCCGGGAAATTGCACATTTGGGAAGTAGCCACTAGGGAAATTGTCACTTAGGAAGTTGCCCCAGGGAAACTGCCTTTGGGAAAGTAATACAAGGGTGGTTATAATAGGATACAAGGGGGGATATATTGGGATACAAGGGTGGTTATAATAGGATACAAGGGGGGATATATTGGGATACAAGGGTGGTTATAATAGAATACAAGGGGGGATATATTGGGATACAAGGGTGGATATAATAGGATACAAGGGGGGATACATTGGGATACAAGGGTGGATATAATAGGATACAAGGGGGGATATATTGGGATACAAGGGTGGATATAATAGGATACAAGGGGGGATATATTGGGATACAAGGGGGGATATATTGGGATACAAAGGTGGTTCAGTCAGTTGTGACTGTCGATCACGATTTACCTATTAAACATTTGTTTACCTTTTTTCGGGGGAATCGTTTTGGATTAAAAGCGAAAAATAGTCTATTTAGTTTATATTTATAACTTTAAACATTTTTGTTGTTTAAATTTTTTAAATTATTGGTTACAGATCATACAAATAAAATTCTATTTTAATTATTCTTATCATCATATTTTCATCCTTAATTCTTTATTTTTTTCTTTTGTTGACGGTCCCTTCAACTAATTTGAAAAAAGACAAAGCCAATATTGAATTCAATTTTTTCAAATACTGATTATAATAGAAAATATGGAGAAAATTTAAGAATATCTGGAAAAACATGTTTATATACAAGTGATAGTAAAATAAGGTAGTAGAACTGGTTTTTATCTTTATTAACTAACATCAAAAATAAGATTTAGATTTTTGTCAAAGGTATAAAAATAATAGTAATATTTTATTCTGCTACAAAAATAAATACATATAAATAACTTGAATACTAACAATCAAAAATTTTCTTCTTTACCAAGAAAACTTGAATAAAATGACGTAAATATGGCACTTTGTTACAATAACATAATATTTAAACAATTGTCAGCTTTAGTCAGTCAAAGTATTAAGCTACAAAGCTCAACAACAGAAAGATTTTCAGTTAAATATAAAAAGATAAACATAAAAACAAAAATAAATAATAAATAAATAAATAAATAAAACATTTTTGTTAATAATTTATACACGTTACAACGAACTTACTGAATGTATTTCGAAGTTATTTCGAACATTTTCTTCGAAATTATTATCAGAATGTTCAAGATATTGAACTTTGTGAGACAAACAATCTGTTCAAAATGTCGAAGAAAGTTTTCATAATTTCGAAGAAATTGTTTGTAACTTCGAAATGGTTTCGACAACTCGATATTACAAGCAATATGTTAGGGTCTGTTCTAACACTACACCAGTACAGAATAATGACATATTTAATAAATTGATTGATTGATTGATTAAATTGGTTATTTCGATTTATTTTGCATAAAATCAGTCTGATTATATTGTCTCCTTATCTTCCACTGTTTTCGGTGGATCTTCCCGGTATGTCAGATCATTGAGATAATAAACATTAATCTAATTGTCCTATAACATTAATCTAATTGTCCTATAACATTAATCTAATTGTCCTATAACATTAATTCATCTAAATTTAACTTGTTTTGAAAAAAAATAAATTTTAAATTTTTGACAAAATCTATTTGAAAAAAAGCAATAAAACATGCTCTTGCGTTACCTAGGCAAAAGGTTACCCCAGGCAAAATGTTACAAGGCAAACTTCTACGCAAAATGTTACAAGGCAAACTTCTAAACAAAATGTTACAAGGCAAACTTCTACGCAAAAAATTAACCACAGCAAAACTGAACTAGGCAAAAAGTTATCATGGCAAAACTGAACTAGGCAAAAAGTTACCACAGCAAAACTGAACTAGGCAAAAAGTTACCACGGCAAAACTGAACTAGGCAAAAAGTTACCACAGCAAAACTAAACTAGGCAAACAGCTACCACGGCAAAACTAAACTAGGCAAAAAGTTACCACGGCAAAACTGAACTAGGCAAAAAAATACCACGGCAAAACTGAACTAGGCAAAAAGTTACCACAGCAAAACTAAACTAGGCAAACAGCTACCACGGCAAAACTAAACTAGGCAAAAAGTTACCACGGCAAAACTGAACTAGGCAAAATTTTACAAGGCAAAATTTGATTAGGCAGTTTGTGACTAGGCAAAATGTTGCTGAGCCGACTCTTTAATTACTTAATTTAATTTAATTTTGCTACCATTTTGGGGTTACCACTCGGAAGAGAGATCCTTTTCTTCCTTTTTAAGGATGGACGTGTTCTTAGGACATATTATTTGTTGCAGTAATTAATGTTTTTAAATTCTCACCAATCAGGAGATGCCGCGCAGTCGACATTGTAGTTCCAATCACAGACGCGGTATTTCTGGTTGAAACTGGTTTCATCTCCGCACATGTAGGGGATTCGTCTTCCATCTTCATCACAGAGATGAAATATCTAAACAAAATTATTTAGAAAGTAATCAAAATGTTTTTAGGGATACAAATATATTTATTACGAGCAGCAGATTATAGAAAGGAGAAAAATGACATGTGAAATTATCTTAATTCTGAATTTACTAATTGCTAAACAGGTACACTTGAAACGTACATGATATCTATCATCTTCTTCTCTTCAAAAATTTATATTTTCATTTGCGGTTCTCTGTTTCAGATAATTGAACACGCCTAAAGCTATAAAAACGACAATATCTTCCACGTATTGATAAGATTATGGTTTAAAGTGGAACCGTTTGGAATCATGCAAACAAACCCCTCTGTAAATACCTTTTCCACCTATAAGGTTGTTTTAACTGATATATGTTTAAAAGAAATCAGGGAACATGTTTTATATGTAAAAAATAAAAATTACAAAATCCTTTGACATATTTATTCCCATGTCTACTGGTTATCACTGTATTAATTTATTTTCTTTCATACCATAAAACCCGAGGTCTGCGTAGAACCCAATTTATTTACTCACCATACAGTCAGACTCCAGGTCTGCGTAGAAACCAATTTATTAATTCACCATACAGTCAAACTCCAGGTCTGCGTAGAACCCTATTTATTTACTCACCATAAGGTCAAACTCCAGGTCTGCGTAGAACCCTATTTATTTACTCACCATACAGTCAAACTCCAGGTCTGCGTAGAACCCTATTTATTTACTCTCCATACAGTCAAACTCCAGGTGTGCGTAGAACCCTATTTATTTACTCACCATACAGTCAAACTCCAGGCCTGCGTAGAACCCAATTTATTAACTCACCATACAGTCAAACTCCAGGTCTGCGTAGAATATTTACTCACCATACAATCAAACTCCAAGCCTGCATTTTCAATTTATTAACTCACCATACAGTCAAACTCCAGGTCTGCGTAGAACCCAATTTATTAACTCACCAAACAGTCAAACTCCAGGTCTGCATAGAACTTAATTTATTTACTCACCATACAGTCAAACTCCAGGTCTGCAAAGAACTTAATTTATTTACTCACCATACAGTCAAACTCCAGGTCTGCATAGAACTTAATTTATTTACTCATCATACAGTCAAACTCCATGCCTGTGTTTTCAATGTATTAACTCACCATACAGTCAAACTCCAGGTCTGCGTAAAACCCTATTGGACGGTCTGTGCAGTCAAAAGTAAATGTAACATTCGGCATATCAGCCCATCGACGCTCCTGAAAATCAGATGAAATTTCAATTATTCTATATTCATTTGGCCTGTCAGTTTGTTGTCTGCGTATTTCTAAAAGTTTCCAGCAAAAGGAGGAAATCGTTTCACGAAAATCGCATTATTGTGAAAAAATTTCATTGCACCGAAAAATTCGCATTTTTTCGCATTTCTTTCGATGAAAATAACGAAATTTTGCTAAAAAGTTAGCGAAATACGAAAGAAAATTTTCGCTTCTTTTCGCATAGTTTTTGCGGGAAAGTCTATTTATTACTGGTCAGAATTTGAAAAAATTGCCTCAGAATATTTTTTTTAAGGCGAACGTAAAAAGTCCAATTAGAACTTTCATTGTATTTTAAGTTGTTAGGCATGGATTAGATATCTTACATCTCATGTTTTAGATCAAATAAACAATAAACAAAAAAAGAGGTTAAGTCAAGTATTAAAAAAAAACATTGAACATAAATAAAGGACAACGACAAACCGTTTGATCAATTTAAAAAAAGATATATCAATTTTTTTCTTTGTGAATTTAAGCCGAATTTGATAGTTCATTTAAAGATTACTCAAAGACTGCAAAATTTTTCTTGGAACACTCTGTATTTTAAAGAAATAACAAATTATTAAAAGTCATAACGTAACGTTATTTTAATTTGAACTCCTCAGAAAAAAAAAGAAATCCAGAAGTATTTTAAATCTTGGGATCAAGCATTGATCTCCATTTTGTGTTTTCCTCTTTGTTATCCTGTGGTGGTTATAACACTGCAAGGATAACTTTAATTCAGGGATTAAGCTTTGATTCTTAATTCAAAAGTGCCCTCATTGGATATCAAGATCGAGCGTTAAAGATTAAGGATCCTTTTTCTACTATTAAGATATCAATGTCTAATCTAATCCCATTTTTTAAAACGTTTTTCATAATAAAAAAATAATGAATAAACGAGAGTTATTTACTTTGCTTAAATATGGCCTCTAAAGTCTAAATGCAAAGAATAAATATTGTATGACAAATGGAAAATTTGCTAGATCCTGATCAGATTATACAAAACTGCAATTCCGATATATTTGTAACCCAACCTCACATGGTTTCAATAGTTTCGTAACAATGCTTGATTTGTACAATTTATCAAATAAAATAAACAATGCCAACGGATAAGAAATATAGTGTCCAGTGCCGGTTTAAGGGAAGGGGAATATAAAATTTAGGAGAACAAGAAGAGAGAACAGGCAACTTCAAGCCTTTTCATTTTGATAAATATAGATAGATAGAGCTCGTGAGTTTTAGAACCCAAAAAGGTCTATGGAGTGATTTTTAAGAAAAGATAAAAAATTTTTAGGTTTAATAGTCTAAACCCGTTGAACAATTTGCTAGACAAAATTCTGGGTTAAACTGAGCTGGGAACCTTAGAATGGTGCATATCGAGATAATTGCTTAATCCTCTGTTTTTGCTAATCTCAAGACTAACATAATCTTGAGATTATGTTAGTCTCGAGATTAAATATTTAAATCAACAAATTGGATTCCAGGAACGTCAGATGTGTTCGTTTTCTTGATTGGAAGGGCCTTCACTCAATTAATCACCCATTTATTTATGAATGCAATAGTTAAAATTGGTGAAAAAAGAATCTCAAACGTAGTATTTTTCTTAACCGCTTGATTTTCAAAATGGCCGACAACATATTCTTTATTTGTTAGAAATTCCGGAATTCTCTCATTGGATAAAATTTATTTTCAAGGCTGTCATTGGTCAATACACTCTACGAACTATATTACTGCACTCTCATTGGTGAAAACAATGTACGGATATCCAAAGCGAGAGAAAAAGAGTGGATTAAGGACTAAAATTAAAAGCTTCCACAGTGGATATTCGGAGTTGGGATTAAAGGTTATCCATTCTAAAGTTCCCAGCTCTTTTGACAGAAACTCGACATTTTTAACAAAACAAATCTGTAGCGACCAGATATCGTATTCCACAGGAAGATGAAATGCGGGAACATGAAAGTACAAATTCGCAATCCAATGTGTTATTTTCTAAACTTTGATTGCAAGTTTAATTCCTCCAAATATGGTGATCCATTACTCGCCATTATTCAAGTACAAATATATTTCAGACAAAAAGCTAGGACGGGGGCGTACAATTCAACCAAACAAGGTGTAGGCAGCACAATGCAGACCTTAAACCATTCGGTTTTCTTCCAAACTAGCTTGGGAACCCAGTGTCCAAATCTTAAGATGGGGTATCGTTATGAAAACCAGTTTTGAAACCCGGGTTTCACGAATGGGGTTAGGCAGTTTTGTGGATATAATATCAATATTTTTATTATGAAATATTATTTCATTTAGTTTCTTCATATAAGACCCCAAAAAGGTATAACTTGGCAGTTTCGTTCAACGATACTCTTTTAAATTTCGGGCTCAGCGTTGCACAGGGGTGTCAAAGTCCCATCGTTTACTCGGCTTTGTCGTAAATTATGTTTTAAGCAGTTTAAAGTGGACCCAATTATTTTAGAATCTTAAAACCAAACTAAGAACATTTCTGTGGGTCTTCCGAGTTCCTCCTGGAAACATTTATCCGACTATATGTACCGATGGCGAAGATGTCGAGTATAAAATTTGATGCAAATCGGTCCAGAAGTTCCTGAGTTATGATCAGTCAAACAAACAGACAGACAAACAGAGATTACAGCTTTAAATATGTAGATAACGGGGCTAGCAACTTTACTCTATATATATGAAATAGAATAAACTAAAAGAAAATGAAAGAAGAAGAAAGAAGAAAATAAGAATTAATATAATTAGAATGAAAATAAAGAAATTTAAAAGAAAAAAAGGAAAAGACAGAATTAAGGATGGCGAAAGAAAGGAAAAGAATTAAGGAAATGAAAGGATAATTCCATCATTTGTTGTTGGTTACTGTTGATTTTCTGTCTAATATCGGTGAGAATCAAGAATCGTCTTTGGAAGCAGGGACCGTCAGTATCGACGATCGGTGTTGTATTGTCTGATCGTCCGAATAACACTGGTGATTTCTGGAGATCGTACAAGATGGTGATGATCGTTTGCTTCTGCAGAGTAAACAGCCATCAGGCCTAGGATATAACCATCATTATTTTCTTTAAAAAACTACAGTGGTAAGCAATTAAATTAATATTATGAAGACAATTTTTTATTTCAATTTTGATTTATTTTAAGCTGCTAAACATCATGGAAGCACATAAACATAGAAATCAAAAGAAGCTGTTAATAAAAAAAGCTTTTCTTTGAGTACTTGTAACCTTGTAATTCGAAAAAAGCTTGTTCACAATCAAAACTTGAATACAAAAGTTGTCTTCATTTTATTGAAATAATCGCCTACCAATGTATATTTTGATCAATTGTTAAATATCCTAATTTTCAAATTTATTATCACAACTACGCAATTCTACCGCTAAAATATGTTCCTATAAGTATTGTTTTCTCTATTTAGCTTTAGTTATGTTTGTTTATCACAAAAATGGGTGTTTAATGAGAAATTTGATAAAGCTACGAATATTCATATATTATTATTACAATATTATTATTATTGTTATTATCATTACTTCTATTTCAATGCAAAAAAAACGCTATTTCTCCAATAGATATATCTATAATATCTAAAGAAAAAATTATAGTAAGCTATATCGCACATAGTGTGCGATTTAGCTAACTCTAATGTCCTCGTTTAATGCGATAGCGTTTTATTTTGCAGTGCATCATCATAATTATGTATTTAGTTAGATGGTTCGGCTAGATCACTTAAAGGGAGTTTTCGCGAAAAAGGAAAGAGGGTATTGGCTTACTAACGTCGAATCGAATTCGATGGTGATCACTACTAATCTTACATCTATCTGTTGCGTCTATAAGGAGAAAAGGGGTTAAGAACGACTCATACCGAAAAACGTAGAATCTATATAGATTTAATAAATTTCAATATTCCACTTGAAGATTGTAAATAATTAAATTTGAAACTAATCCATCAGATATTATAAACTGTAAATATCGAATATAATATATATATAGTTTATATTTCATAATATTCTTTTATTCTTTGAACATACGATATACTTTAAACGGAAAATTTGTTGGTCGCCATGGGGTTCTCTCCCATCAAAGAATTGAATTCGACATATATAGGTTGTTATATCTGAATAATTAATTTTAAATTCAATTATATGATACACATTCTGAGGGAAATAATGCAAATTGTGAATATGTATGGGTTCTACATTATTCGGTATGAGTCGTTTTTAACCTTTTTTTATAGACGCAGCATTAAGAAATACGATGTGTAGCACTAAAACCATCGAATTCGATTCGATGTTAGCCAATCCCCCCTTTCATTTTCGCGAACACTCCCTTTAACTAATCAAATAAAATTACCAATTGATAAAACTTTCTCAAACGAACTATCGTTCTTGTCAACGAGTGTCATGTATGTCGGAATTACTTGTTTATTATATAATATTAGCTGAAAAGGACCCGGCGTTGCCCATGGGGAAAAAATAATAATTTAAAAAAATCTATTTTATTTATATCTCACCTATTAAAAGAATTAGAGATGAGCTGTGAGATGATATTTGATGAGTGAAACCTGTAAAAGGATTTGAGTCTTTGCCACACATTCAGTTTTTGTAAAACCTATATCTTTGCAACCTTATGATGTAAACCTTTGATATTTCAAACTTGCATTATTTGATCTAACAGAATTCAAAGTTTGAAATATCAAAGGTCTACGACATTGGCTTGCAACGATATTGAATTTAGAAAATCAGAGTTTGTGGCAAAAACTCAATTCCTTTATAATAAAATGTCTTAACCTATTTTTCATTTTGTACTTTTCTTAAACCTTCAAATTATTGAAAATGTTAATAAGGATTAGGCAAAGAACTACAGAAATTAAAAGATGTATTTTATCCCTTGAACACCTACAAAGGAATTGAGTTTTTGCCACAAACTAAAAATTTCTAAGCCCTATATCTTTGCAACCTGATAAAGTAAACCTTTGATATTTCAAACTAAGATTACTTTATATAACAAAATTCATAGTTTGAAATATCTATGGTCTATTTCAGTGGATTGCAATGATATTTGATATTGGGATTAGAAAATTTGGATTTGCTAAAAGAACTCAGTTCCTTTGTACTAAATTGTCTAAACCCAAGGGTGAAATGCAAGGAAAGTTAATTGCGGTCGTGTATACATGCGTACATATTGAAACCTGTTTGGGCGGAATTTGTAAACAAGAATAGATGCATCAGTGTTCGTTTAGTATCCGAGGAGGTTAAAAAAATTAAAATTTGATAATTTTGATAATTCACATAATAGTTTCCTACGACCAGAATATTTCATTAATTTTTTTTCCGTGAAAGATGTAAACCATCATCCCATGTCAGGCTTTGACATCAGTCTTGTGTTTACATTAACGCCCAGAGACAGTACACTGCAATACAAAAGATGTGTACACTTCTGAAATAACTTTCCTTGCATTACATTCTTGTCTAAACCTATTCTTTATTTTGTACTTTTGTTAACCCTATTCCTGCTGGGGGACCTGGTTTTTAAGTACCCCATTAAAAAAATTATTAAAAATATCAATAAGGCATTATAATAAAAAAAATTTATATTTTTTTCTTGAAGAAGGTTAAAAATAAATCGCATGGATTCAGGGCTGGTATAAATCATTCAAGTCTGATATAAGTAAAACATTTTGATATCAAATCCTAGTTTTTAATACATTAATAATATCTACAAAACAATATATTACGGAACTGTAAAGTGTAAATACATTAATTATATCTACAAAAATTTTTTTTTATCGAAATTTTAATTATTTGTTAACTATCGGTGTCAATACGAACACAAGCTATTAATCAAGCTCTAAATGCCACACAAGCCTTACTTCCCACCAGGGATAAAAAGGATTAAGTAAGTAAATAAGTAAATGACACACAGGGACACAAGCCTAGCTATCAAACAAGCTATTGATCGAGCTGTAAATGCCACACAGGGACACAAGCGTAGCTATCAAACAAGCTCTTAATCAATCTATACCAAATACAGAGGTATGATTTTAGCCTGTATGATTCAATGAGGACACAGTTAGCTATCAAACAAGCTTGTAATCGATCTCTACCAAATCCCGAGGTACCATCTCAGCCACAATGTTTCAACAGGGACTCAATTACTCTACACTGTAATCTAAGCAAAGTTTCTATGTTAACAAAGGTATATTTCTACAATTTAGATTAGAATTGGGTCCTTAACAGCGTAATTACAAGTTAGGCCCTGTTATATATAACGTAGATAAGCAATCACAATAAGCATGGTATGACAGATTTATATATATCTAAATACATTGAATGGCTTAATTGCAATACATGATTTATGAATTTACTAATGTTACATTTAGATACAGGAGGGTAAGAGAGTGTTGAAAAATAAGGCTATCTATCCCTGATTTTCTACACTTAAGCCACTCCACAGTTTTTCTTGCTTTGTCTCGATCCTTCTATATCTACTGCAAATATCGAGTTCACCAACTCCCTTACTATACGTGCAAGGTCCAATGATTCCTGGATAACAGGAGTTTGTCTTCTTTCCACTTCCATGCAGTTGCATTGTCCTTACAGGCATTTGATACCATATCCGCATCATTTAGGTTGATCCAAGTCTTGGCCATTGTCCTCTAGCTCCTCATAGGATACAAACCGAATATCTCCTGACTCCTTTTGATCCCTTCCCAACATCTTAACTTGAATTCTCCTTGTTGCTGATTTCTCTATCGTATCCATGTTGATGTCTGGTTCTAGAATGATATAGAATGATGCGTTACTGATTCCATCGCTCCATACTCTTCACCAAAGCCAGTAGTTCTCCCTTCATAGTTTCCCCTCCTGCCCCAGCAACTGATAAAAGCTCCACTCCTTCCTGTATTTGAGACAGTAAACCACCAAGATTCAAAACAGACCAGTCCGTGGTGAGAATAAAAGGCTCCATGGAGTCAAAATCTGGATATCCATTGATCTATCCTGCTGTGAACTCTGTTTTCATCTTCTCCATGTCTTCTGACTACTCAAATTTCAATGCCTCATTGTGTTCATGAGGTTTGTCAAAGCTGAGTACCTAGAAATAAAACTCCTACAATATCCTTGTGAATTTGAGGAATGAGGACATCTCCTTGCAGCTAGTGGGGCATGGCCATTTCTGTATGTTCTTCATATAATCCTCAAACATCTGCACATCATCTTTACTCACTTTATGTCCTAGATACTCTTGGCCTTCTTTGACTGTATCTTAATCCCTTCTTGAATATGAGCTTGTACTACCTACCTCAGGTGTTCCAAATGTCCCCAATGATCCATTGAATTCAACAGTATTTTGTCCAGGTAACTCAACCAGTACTCTGAAGGTAGATGAGCCGTAGCCAGATCCAGCATCCTTGAGTATACACTGCCTGGATTACACAAGCCGAAATGCATGAGTATGTATGTGTTGATGAATGCTGTACAATTTCTACTGCTTTCCTCAATTTGTACACAGTGGTACGTGACACAAGCATCAGTTGGCGGGAAAATTGTGGCACCTTTTAACTTCTGTAAATTCTCTTGAATGTTTGTTAATAGATAAGCATCCTTCACTGTTGCAGAATTAAAAAGCCTTAGATCTGTCACCAATCTTGTCCTTCCATCCTTCTTCTTGACTGGAACTTATAATCAAGCCCAAGGGCTATTAACCGGTTCAATGGCTCCCTGCTCAGTCTACTCGTCTATCTACTCTTCTGGTAGCATGGATTCTACAAAACCCTCTCCCCTCTAATCTCCTTCTACTCTGACTTTCAATAATTTTGCGCTTCCTGAAGGAATGAATACTTTCTCTCCTGAGCACAGTTTCCTCTCCCTTACTTCTGGTTCCTGTATTGCTTCCAGTTCTGGTATTGCTTCTGGTTCCTGTATTACTTCTGTTTCTGCTATATGGTCAACAGTCTGATGTTTGGTCTCTGCTTTCCAGCAAGAAGGGATTACTTGCACATACTTCTTTCCTGCTTTGTCTGTTCTCTTTCCCGACTTATAATTCTTACAATTTTCAATTGATGACAAATGACAGTTGACAGTTGACCGGCGTAGTGGAAACACCTGCTCCAGATCCTAACCTGACACACATAAATACAACAGTTATGGCTAATATTGAAGATATTGCAAGACTATTGGAATCAACAAAAGTGGATATAATCAGTGAACTGGATATCAAACTTCAACCAATGAGGAATGATATATTGTACCTCAGATCTGAATTCCAAGCTCTCGCTGGAAAAGTCAATGTTTTAGAATCCATGAATCCTGCCCACTCCAAAAGTACACACCCTGCTCAAACCATCCAGACTACTTCCCTACTGCAAGTGATCAGTGACTCCAGAAGAAAGCTTGGTTTCTCTCCACTCTCTCTGGAGTCCCTCAACAGCCCAGATAATGCTGACATTAATAATATCTACANCTATGATATTCTATGATATATATGTTTCTCTTATGATATGTATGTTTCTCTTATGATATGTATGCTTCTTCTATGATATGTATGTTTTTCCTATAATATATATGTTTCTCCTATGATATGCATGTTTCTCTTATGATATGTATGTTTCTCTTATAATATGTATGTTTCTCCTATAATATGCTTGCTTTTTTCTTGATATGTATGTTTCTTCTATGATATATATGTTTCTCCTATGATATGTATGTTTCTCTTATGATATGTATGTTTCTCTTATGATATGTATGTTTTCTCTTATGAAATGTATGTTTCTCCTTTAAAATGCATGTTTCTTCCATGAAATGTATGTTTCTCCTATGATATGTATGTTTCTCCTATGATATGTATGTTTCTTCTATGATATGTTTGTTTCTCTTATGATATGAATGTTTCTTCTATGATATTCTATGATATATATGTTTCTCTTATGATATGTATGTTTCTCTTATGATATGTATGCTTCTTCTATGATATGTATGTTTTTCCTATAATATATATGTTTCTCCTATGATATGCATGTTTCTCTTATGATATGTATGTTTCTCTTATAATATGTATGTTTCTCCTATAATATGCTTGCTTTTTTCTTGATATGTATGTTTCTTCTATGATATATATGTTTCTCCTATGATATGTATGTTTCTCTTATGATATGTATGTTTTCTCTTATGATATGTATGTTTCTCCTTTAAAATGCATGTTTCTTCCATGAAATGTATGTTTCTTATGATATGTGTGTTTCTCTTATGATATGTATGTTTTTCCTATTATATGTATGTTTCTCCTATGATATGTATGTTTCTCTTATGATATGTATGTTTCTCCTATGATATGTAAGTTTCTCTTATGATATGTATGTTTCTCCTATGATATGTATGTTTCTCCTTTAAAATGCATGTTTCTTCCATGAAATGTATGTTTCTCCTATGATATATATTTTTCTCCTATGATATGTATGTTTCTCTTATGATATGTATGTTTCTATGATATGTATGTTTCTCTTATGATATGTATGTTTCTCCTATGATATGTATGTTTCTCCTATGATAAGTATGTTTCTCCTATGATATGTATGTTTCTCCTATGATATGTATGTTTCTCCTTTGATATGTATGTTTCTCATATAATATGCATATTTCTCCTATAATATGTATGTTTCTCCTACAGTATGCATGTTTCTGCATGTTTCTTCCATGATATGTATGTTTCTCTTATAATGTTTAACAAAATTATAATTCTGTTTTATTGTTAATATTTTTATCGTTTTCAACATTTGATGTATGATGTATTAAAAGTTACGTAGGCCATTCAAAACCAGCAATAAAAAATCAACAAAATTATTTTGAACCATTTACCTGAGTTTATTGATTGCAACATGATGCACTTAGTTCACAGTTCTTTATTTTCTTTATAGTGCACACAAGGGTTTATTCAGTCAAGTTTTTCCTTGTCTAAAATATCTTCTTCTTTGAAACGTTTTTGTTTTGAAGGGTCTAGGCTGGTTCTTGTACATACAGAGGATACTCTTTATTTGCTCGAGTTTCTATAGTGTCTGGGCGCACGAATAGTTTGTGGGGAAAGATTTGCGCGCTTCATCCGCGCATTCCAACATTCCAGCAGTCTTTCACGCGCCCAACTATGTGCTTTACTGATGCGAGGGAGGAGGGGGTGTTAAGCATGTAAAAATATCTGCAAAACCTTTATAATTACAAAGATTTCAGAAAACTAGCAATCTTAGGTAATCTTAACCCTATTTCAACTAAATTCTAATGTGCACAAAAATATATGCAAAATTTACATAACCTAAATGTGTATTTAAGAAAAGCTAAAATTGTGAAAATTCCCTTTAAAGGCGTCTGTGCAAAAATGTCTTAGTGGAAATTGTGTAATATGCTTCCTTTTGTTTTAAAGGCTTTTGTTCTTTTGTTGAAATCCGATGACCGGAAATAGGTACAAATATAGATTTAGTCTGGTAAATGCACAGTGACCCACCTCACAATTAGAATAGGTTTCAACAAGAGAGGTAGAGAAAAATCATCGGGGAATTATTTTTCGATTCTATTTTTCAATTTGAATAATTCAATTTCGTAAAGCATTTTTTCTAACATATATCATAATGATTTATGTCACCTCTTTATGGTGTTACAATCGTTTTCTTGTTGCGGTTTTTTTACAGTTTGTATTGTGTCCTGCCATGCCCCCTCCCTCCCATCCACCCAATTCTTTGAAACACTCTGTAATCTGTATACCTTGTTAAGATTAAATTTAGATTGTGCAGTAACTGAAACCAAGCTTCAAGGGGCAATACGAGACAAAATTACAGCATGTAAAATGATGAAAAACAAGAATAAAGTATAAAATGTTGTCAAACGTCGTTCAATCTATATATCTAATTTTTTCAAGTAATCTGTAAGTTTTGTTAAAATAACAATCATTGATTAAACTTTGCAACGTTTTAGAACTTTTGCCATGGGAAATAAAAATGTAGAATTTTATAAAAATATGATTTTTTAACCTAAACCCTGTAAAAATCTAGATTATTTGCTTATGACATAGTTTTGAGTTGTTGAATACTAATAGTTCTCTTAACCCTATTCCTCCATTCCGTCTGGGTCCTTCAAGTGTTACAAATCTAGATCATTTAATTTATTATTTATTGGGGGCCGGTATGGGAATTGATATACAGGACTTTATAAGTAAACTAACTTTATTCTCATGCATTTTATGCATCCAAGAACACTTCCTTTTAAATTCTTGGGACCGGAAACACAGCAATACTAACAAACTAAAGAAATATTTTGGTGAAACTAATGATATATATTATGTGTTTACAACAGAATGTAAAAATGTTCTGCTAGTTGGTGACAATAAATTGTAATTTTTCTAGACCTACACAATTTGTGCAAAGTAACAGTGATATGGATTCGTAAATTGAATTAGTAATTTTACATCGAAATATTTTATTAGTTTAGTGCTAGAAACGTAAAGTTGAAAATAAATCAGATTTAATGTTTTTCAAATGAATTAATACTACAAAACTATTCTAACAGTTTTCTCGCAGAAAACATATTTTGACGTTAAATCTAAGAAAAGGTTGGTAAGTTAGTAATTTTTTTTAATATTTAGTTAAAGTTCAATTAACATCATGTGTTTAATCTTTTATGAAACTTTCACAAGTAGTAATAGTTATTGTCAGAGATAAGAGAGTTACAGAGATCGATTATCAGCTAAATTATGCGATATTTTCCACATTATGTTCTATTGTGTACAAGTACTATACACGACCAATCAGCAAACATCTGTATTCAGGGATATTTAAGGATCCTTTGGTTTCAAAACACAAAATCTTCAAAAAAAGACAGAATTCATAAATGTTATGTTTCATGTTTAAATTTGGAGTATACATTTCTTTAAAAATTGTAAAACTTAACTCCTGAATGGGTATTATGTTCAACGAGTGGCCGTGAGGTGGCACTTAATAACCTATCGTAAAAACGTAGCATGTCGTGCCGGGTCAACTTAGGCCTACATAGCCCACCCTGTGAAAGAAGATAAGCAGTCTGTGTAGTCTGTGGTTATTATTAAAAGTTAAAAGATAGTAACAATATAAAAATCGTTTTTGAAAACAATTTTTCACTAATTTATATCTGTTGGATCCTGAGGTTCCAGAATTTGAATCTCTCGCCATTATTGCTAGCTGCTCTAGCACCCTGTCGACCTGTAACATCCCTTCAACCTACAAATACTCGCCATATCTGTAGGAAGGGCGGGACTGAAAAGGACGACATTTGGATTAAAAATGAAGGCGCTAAAAAATAAAAACCTTACCCGGTCAAAATTGACCGTCTCGTCACTAATTGGTTAAATGTCTGATCAACGATGTGAAAAAATGTCGTTTTCTGACTCTAAAACTGTTGATTTCTTTGAGTTTCTTCATTGTTTCTCACAAGCATTAAATGCGAAATTCACTTTCGCCGAGAAACCGCAAATAAAAAAGCAGTTTAAAGAAACAAAATCATGAATATCTAATTCACAATTGATTACACAAAGCTTACTAGGGTAACGTTTAAATCGGGCAATGCCATCTTGGCATAAAAAGCCACTTGAAATTACGCTTACAGTCCCTTTAAAGTTTATGATGTATGCATATACAAAGTTTCTAAGAAAGAGGGTGGAAAAGAGAAAGGGGGGGGAGATGGTATATTTGTAAAATGCACAACCTTCATATTTTCATTCATTATGCAGAGTGTAGTATAGTTTCAACCTTTTAGCCCTTTATATAGTTGGATAGTTGGATAGTTGGATAGTTGGATAGTTGGATAGTTGGATAGTTGGATAGTTGGATTGTTAGATAGTTGAGTATTGGACTCCTTGTATGTAGTAGGACTACCTATATGTATTGGACTCCATGTATGTAGTAGGACTACCTATATGTATTAGGACTCCCTGTATGTATTATGACGCTCTGTACGTATGATGACTCCCTGTATGTAACAGGACGCCCTGTTAGTGTTAGGACTATAATTTACATCCCTGTAATCTTTTTGCACTCACTGTAATCGGTAAATACTGCCTGTATTCAGTATGTAGTATGTATTTCCTGTAATCTGTATGAACTCCCTGTAATCTCTATGAACTCCCTGTAATCTGTATGTACTCCATTTAATCTGTATGTACTCCCTGTTATCTTATGTACTCCATTTAATCTGTATGTACTCCATTCAATCTGTTTGTACTCCCTGTAATCTGTATATACTGCCTGTGATCTGTATGAACTGCCTGTGATCTGTATGAACTCCTTGTAATCTGTTTGTACTCCATGTAATCTTTATTTACTCCATGCAATCTGTATGTACTCCCTGTAATCTGTATGTGCTCCATGGTAATCTGTATGTACTCCCTGTAATCTGTATGCACTCCATGTTATCTGTATGTACTCCCTGTAATCTCTATGTACTCCCTGTAATCTGTATATACTGCCTGTGATCTGTATGAACTCCCTGTAATCTGTATGTACTTCATGTAATCTGTATTTACTCCATGCAATCTTTATGTACTCCCTGTAATCTGTATGTGCTCCATGGTAATCTATATGTACTCCCTGTAATCTGCATGNCAAAATATGCTCTACCTTTTTGTGCTTTTAAAACTTCGTCCAGATTTGGACAATTTTTATTTTTAATTTCATAAATTGAAATCTGAACGAAATTCTTAATATCTTCAGTAATATTTAAAGCACAAAAATGGCAGACCAACTTTGGAAATGTCAGAAGTAGGGTTTTCAGTCGCAAAAATTTTGCGCAATTTTTGCGGAAGAAAGAAAATTTTTGGTTTTTTTGCCCTACATTTTGCGCGAAAATATAGCATTTTGCGTAATCACTCTCAAACTTCATTTCGCGCAAAATTGCACTAACCCGCTTTTTCTTTATTCAGTTTTGCGGAACATATTCATATTAAAAGGTTAATTAAAGGTGTAAACTGTATACACTAATTGTCTAACAGATTGCACTTTTTGGCATATAATTGTTATGCTTAAAAAGAGAACTGATTACTTGCCTAAAACTCTATTTTGCAACATGAATATTTTAAAAATGTATATGTATAATCCTAGAAGAACAGGATAAATGATTTGTGATGTAAAACCAAAGACCACTTGAGACACTTTCAAAATTGAGGCTGTATTAAAATTTGATAACTCAGGGTTGTCTATATCTCAGTGGACGTAAGTCTTTGGTATTTTAACCATTTGCATTCGACAAGAAGTAGTCAACATTTGAATTTTATCAAAGATTGCCACCACACAAAGATCCATACATCTAAATAAAACCATGCATCCATTTTCAATTTTCAATTTTCAATTTTCTAATTTCTGTTTCATTAATTTTAGTCCCTCAATTTAAAGTTTTTTTAAAATAAAAGTAACTAATTCACAGTAGCATAATCATAATTTTGTTTATATGTAAATTTTTGTATAAACCTTCAGTTGTTGGATTCTATGCTAAAACTTGACTGAAACTCTCAATTTTGGTCAATTTGCTTAAAATATTTTTTTTTGCGTAGAAATTTACATTTTGCGCATATTACACAATTAAAAAAATAACGCAAAAACCGCATAACTTTTAGTGCTTTATACGCAAAAGATGCGAAAAATTCGCAAAAAAATTAGCCCCAAAAGAATGGTCATTTCGTGGAAACCCTAGACTCAGAACTAGGGGAATTTTGTAGTTATTGTTGCATGAATCTTGTTTAAGTAGATTGACGACTTAATGTCGCAATTTATTTCAAAGATTAACGACGACCTCTAGTCGTCTCTCTCGCGGAACACCCTGTACATGCATAAAGTACATGTAGCTGGTAATTATACTGTACGAATGTTGACCATTGAAACGCATAATTCAAGGTTAGTATCCGACAGTGCGGACTGTGCTCGTAGTTTGTGCAAGCAAGAGAACATAGCAGAAGTATAGACAAGGGACCAATATCTTTAACAATAGAACTTTTAATAAAGTTTGTTTTAAATAGAGGAACAATAAGGAAGGAAGGGGGGGGGGTAAATCATAGTTTAATTAATATTTATTACTTCCTCCCCATCTTTAGCTGTAGGGCCGGGTACAAGTATGTATACATGCTAAGAATGTTGGAGATGATAAAAACTATGCTTCTGTATTCAAGTGTTCAAGTGTTAAGCACAGACATGATTAAGATTAACAACATGGGGGAGTATATATAAGAGGATGGGAGTAAATATACAGAGGAGGGGAGTATACATTCAGAGGATGGGAGTAAATATACAGAGGAGGGGAGTATATTTTCAGAGGATGGGAGTAAATATACAGAGGAGGGGAGTATACATGTAGAGGATGGGAGTAAATATACAGAGGAGGGGAGTATACATTCAGAGGATGGGAGTAAATATACAGAGGAGGGGAGTATA